GTTTAAATTGCTTGATTATTATTATTTTTTAACTCAACATTTAGCTTAAAGCTTCCTTGACATATTGGCAACCTGCAAAACTCCTGTCTTCTGAATAAACAACATATGGGGTGTGACTAAAATGAACATAGTTGTAACATTTGGAACGTTCCATTTACAGAACTTGACAAAAGAAATGCTCTTCGAACCTGGGATTAACTGGCATTTCTGCCGGGATTGAAAGCAAAACTGTGGAGCTAATGTGGGGGGCGGACATTTCTTAGAAATGCCAGTGAGATTGCAATAGCATGCTGAAGTGTCTCCTCCTCATCCCCTAGCTCAGGTTCAGGATTCTAGCCAGCCAACTGGGTGTTGTAGAGTTGGAAAAGGTTCAGAAAAGAGCAACCAAACTGATCAAGTGGGCAGAGCAACTCCCTTTGAGGAAAAGTTGCCATGTTTTGAGACTTCATTGTTTAGAGGAAAGGTGAGCCAACTCTAGCTGTCAAAAACACTTGAACCCATGGACTTCCAATGGTCAAACTATGGAACTTGCTTCCTGAAGAGGCAGTGATGGCCACCAACTTGGGTGAATTTAAAAGATGATGAGATGAATTCTTGGAGGACGAGGCTATGAATTGCTACTAGCTACGATGGCTGTGTTCTGTCTCCACAGTCAAAGGCAATATGCCACTGAATATCAGTTTCTGGGACTTGCGGGTAAGGAGAGTGCTGTTAAGCTCATGTCCAGCTCTCAGGCTTCCCACAGGGATCTGGTTGGCCACTGTGAGAACAAGATGCTGGATGAGATGGACCACTGGCCTCACCCAGCAGCCTCTTCTTATGTTCTCAATGCACCTGGACTGTGTTGTTTGATTAGGTGTCCCACTTCAGTGATACCTCCTCTTTCAATGCACAATCAGATATTTATTTCTGGAGGCCCTGTTAAGTGCTGTATGTCACCTGCCTGCTGCTGGGGAAGAGCTGCAGGGCAGATGGCAGGAAGATGACAACAGGAAAAGGATAGAAATGCATGAGAGAACAGGTTCCTAGGTGATGTGGAAAGCAAGAGTAAGTTGCATAAAGACTTGAGGAGGAGAAATAATCTATTAGACTGCACTCCTCTACACATTTGGGAGAAAGCACCACTGAACTTCTGTATAGGATTGTGCTTTTCATATTTTAACTCAGAACATTCTCGTTTGCTGCTTTGGGAATTTATGTGGTTCAAAAGCAGCATAAGATATGTATATGATAAATAAAATATTTAGTCCAATTTGACCTGAGGGTGTGAATTGTGTATTAGGGATCTTGAAAATAATTTAAAAGCTGCCAGTCTGATGAGCTGATTGTTGCATTAATGAAACGCTCACCTTGCCTGGCAGGCATTACAAAATGCTAACTGAATTATTTACCCACAAACCTGGCACTCATTCAAGAATGCAGAAGTTTTAAAGTATTGCAGAGACCACACAGCTGGTATATCTATAGCTGGGTAAGCACTTTATAATTATAATCATTTGAATGACAGCAACTCTCTCTAATCTTTTCCAATCAACCTGGATTTGTACTGGTACAGACAAGAGTTTTAGAGAGACAGAGAGACCGAACAAGGAGGATGGAGGAGGACAGGTAGCTTTACAGATGTGCCCACTAAGCAAAGAGCAGGTGTTCTGCTCTGGCCTGTACCAAAACTGTGAGACAAGAGAGCTGTTCATTAGAACAAGGAGAGGGTTTCAAGGCAAGATAGCTGAGACAGCAGACGAGCTGCCCAACCAGATGGTCAGAATGGAGTCCAAAGCCAAGAAGCTGGTCAGAAGAGATGACGCATCAGCAATGTCCAGATAGTAAATGAAAGGTTTAATAATCTGTCACTGCTGATCTACCCTCTTCCTGGAGCATCAGTGGGACCCTGCTCTACAGGCGACTTGGACTCATGATTCCACCACTCACTTATGGCTAAGAGGTAGAAAGCTTTGTGCTGCCAGATGTGAACTGTCATGTTGTGTGGATTCCTGACCATCGTCTTCCAAAGCAACTACTCTATTCCAAGCTTAAAAATGGAAAGCGTAATGCTAGTGGTCAACAAAAGAGGTTTAAAGACTCTCTCAAGGCAAATCTTTAAAAATGTAGTATAAACACTGACAACTGGGAAACACTGGCCTGTGAGTGCTCCAGTTGGAGAACAGCCTTTACCAAAGGTGTCATGGGCCTTGAAGACACTCAAACTCAGGACCAAAGGGAGAAATGTGCTAAGATGAAGGCATGCTTGGCAAACCCTCACCATGATCAACTCCCACCCAGAAACCTATGTCCCCACTGTGGGAGGATGTGTGGATCCAGAATTGGCCACCACAGTCACTTATGGACCTACTGTTAAAACTGTGTTTAGGGAAGACAATCTTACTCAGCTACGAGTGATCAACAAAGAAAGAAAGAAAGAAAGAAAGAAAGAAAGAAAGAAAGAAAGAAAGAAAGAAAGAATACACCTTCTTGTCTGGTCTGCAGAACATTCACTTACTCACCCATTCATTTAACAAATTTGTCTACTGCAGAGTGGCTTGCAAGTTATATGATACAGAATAATTTGAAACATCACAATGATCTCAACCATTTTAATAGCAAAACATTGTTAAAAGCCAGCAAAAAAACAAAACAAAAAAACAAAAACAAAAAAACACAGCAACAATAGTTCAGCATAGTATAAAACTTTCAAAAATGGAACAGAATGCCAGTTCTGCAGCTCATTACATAATTAGCCACTAAGGGCTCTGGAGTCTTTGGGGTCTGTTTACAAACAGGAATTGGGCTTACCTGATCTTATGTGGGATCCAATTGTGTAGTTGAGGAGCTCTGCTGGATCAGAACAAAGGCCCACCCGTTCCAGCATCTTGTTCTCACAGTGTCTGACCAGATGGCCTATTGGATCCCACATTAACAATTTCCTGCTTGAGACCCCCGGAAAACTGGTATTGGGGTTCCATCCTCCAGGAATTATTGTGCCGAATCTGGAGCTCATATATATGTATGGCTAGTTATGGTGCCTTGGATTCCACAACTCTGCAGACTCCTGGATACGAGGTCTTCAGGTTTACTATTCCAGGTTCACCTGACAAGGTGCTGACTCCTCATGACCCACCCAGCTGCTAAGGCCTGTGGTAAGATCCTCCTCTACAGCCCAGATTGTGGTATCAGTGATGCGTGACTGATGACTCGGGGTTGTAATCAGTGTTAGTCCTACTCAGAGTAGATTCATCAAAATTAAAAGACTTTACTAACTTAGGTAAATTAATTTCAATAGTAAGTAAAACTGGTTGGATGCAGCCCTCAGCCTTTTCCTCTGACCTCATCTCTTCCGAGTTGTGGGATGGAACAAAAGAAGACTTTGAGAAGAAATACTCAAAATGATGTGTGCATATGCTGATAGATGTGCTAAAAGGGGCAAATAGCACATATTTGCTTTGCCTTCCCATAACTTCTGTCTGTTCCGGCGATTTTTCCCTTGATCTTAGGCAATGTTTTAAAACAATTACCATAAATAACTGAGATGCTTAGGGTAAATTTATTTGCTGTGCTTTTAAAGTTTTGACCACTAGATGGCAGCATCCAGCCAGATTAGAAAACCAAAAGCTAGCATGTTCAATAATCATGGTTTATCTTGAGTAGTAAAAAACTTGAATCCAGAGTCCAAATAATCACCACAGGACATGAAAGAAAATGTGTGACAGTGCATGCTCCTGGGGGGATATCTTTGGTGACAGGTCTTGGGAGAATCTGTAGTCTGTAGTCTGTGTTGCAACTGTAACAACAACAATAGCAGCAGCAACAACAACAATTTATTATTTGTACCCCACCCTTCTGACTGGGTTGCCCCAACAGCTCGGGCCGCTTCCAGCATACATAACAGTGTTGGACACTGATGAGTACTTCCTATTTCTCTAAGCAAACAGAAGTTCCAGAGCACCTTCCCCCTCTACCCCGGGTAGGGGCTTGTGCTGCCTTTGTAGCAATAATCTATCTATTTATGCTATTTATATCCCACCCCCTAATCTGAATATGTCAGAGCAGGTAACAACCATTTCAAAAAATAGTATCAACAACCATAAAATGAGGGGTGCTCCCCTTGAAAACTCTATTAAAAATCTATCATCTGATAACCCACAAATCCTGCTATGTTTTGAGCTTGCAATAAAATGGCAACATTGATGAAGCCAACTGATGCAGGAGGTTGGATTAGATGGTCCTCATGGTTCCTTCCATCTTTTCAAGTCTCTGATTCCCTACTTGTTAAATTTGGTCAATGATGGCAGCGTAGAACAGGATCTGGCCCACCCCTGACTGAGCAGCAGGGGTGTTTGGCCCTGAAGCTTCCTCTCTTAAAGGTGGAAAATGACATCTATGAATTTCATGGAGCAGGACTTTCAGAAGCTGGGGTGCCACCATGGAGAAAGTTCAATCAGATTTCACTCTCTAATGTTAGGTCCCATTGGTGGGACACCAAGGAAGGCTTCCATGGCCAATCATAACTCTTAAGTAGGGATATATTGGGAGAGACACTCCTTCATGTATTGAGGTCCCAAGTCATTCAGGGCTTTATAAAGCAACTGTAAATCCTTGAATTTGTACTGGAACCATATTGGCAGCTAGTGCACATCTTCAAGTACTGCATATAGGTAGTGCATACAGGGGAAAAAACAATCTGCACAAATATAAGATGGGAGACACCTGGCTTGCCAGTAGTGCATGTGAAAAGGATCTAGGGGTCTTAGTAGACCACAAGCTGAACATGTGATGCAGCAGCAGCAAACAACAACAAACCCTATTCCAGGCTGATTCAAAAGAAGCATCATGTCCGGATCAAGGGAAGTAATAGCGCTGCTCTATTCTGCCTTGGTCAGCCCACTCCTGGATTATTGTGTCCACTTCTCGGCACCACAATTTAGGAAGGGTATTGACCCTCTGATGTGGGTGGAGGAGAGAAACCAAGAAGATCAAAAATCTGGAAACCAAGCCTTATGAGGAATGGTTGAGAGAACTGGGTATATTTAGCTTGGCAAAGAGGAGGCTGAGAGGAAATATGATAGCCATCTTCAAATATCTAAAAGGCCGGAACATGGAGAATGGAGCAAGTTTGTTTTCTCCTTCTCTGGAATGTAGGACTTGACCCAATGAATTCAAGTTCCAAGAAAGGAGACTCCGACTAAACATCAGGAATGACAGTGAGAGCTGTTCAGCAGTGGAACAGACTCCCACAAGAGGTGGCACTCTCTCCTTCCTTGGAGGTTTAGAAGCAGTGGTTGGAATCATAGAATTATAGAGTTGGAAGGGACCCAAGGTTCATCTAGTCCAACACCTGGCAATGCCAGATCTACAACTAAAGAATCCGTAACAGACGGCCACCAAACCACTGTTTGAAAACCTCTAAGGAAGGGGAGTTCACCACCTTCTGAGGTACTATGATCAAGGGAATAGGATGGGCCCTAAAATATCTCTATCATGTGTCAAAGGTCAGGGTAAAGACATGTATCTTCAGCACATGATGAAAGTTATACAGTGAAGGACCTCTGTGATTAGGGAATTCCAGAGCTTAGGAGCTGTTACAGAGAAAGACCTCTTCTGAGCCGCCACCACCCCGAAGTTCTGAGGCTGGTGGGACTACCAAGAGTACCCCTTCTATTGATCTTAACACCCAAGAGGAGCTTAGGTACAGTAAGGTAATAGGTATTAGCAGTATTGAGATTAGTGTAATATTGACATTATTTTTAAACATTAATTTAAAATCTCTCTGTTTTAAAGAAAGTGTGGGAATGATCAACACTGTGTGCATTATTGGGGTCTGTGTGTGCTTCTTTAATATAGATTTTCATGCAATGTTTTCTCCCCCAGAAACTTCCAGTTTGTGCCAGATGTGTCTATTGGCTGGCTAATTTAACAGGCTTGTCTAATTGAAATGTAATGGCTTTCTGCTAACTCGCCATACTGATAATGGTTATGAATGAGGGAATCTGTATTTCTTAAGTATGTGCATCATCTGAAATACACACTTCATTTGCAGAAATAACATGTTCATTTATGAAACTGCTTTTAATCATCTCAAACACATCAATATCCTTCCCAAAACTGAGAGATGAGCCTGGATTCTTATGTAGATAAAAATGACACCATCCACACATAAGAACGAGGTTGTTGGGGAAACTTGGGGGGAAACCCAGCAGGGGAACTTAAGGGGGAACCCCCCCAAAAAAACCCAACCTACTGAAAATGGAGTGTGCTCAGTGGCTACTGAACATTGACTGGCTGTTGCAGGGAGTTGAAAACTGCACAGGAAGCAGAATGGAACAGAGCATCATGGAGAATCTAAGAGCCTGTTAGAAGAGTTCAGTGGTCCATGTGGGATTAGAGTGCAGCAGCACTGCCTGCTCCTGAGGTTTCTAGCAGCTGATATTCAGAAACAAACTGCCTCTGAGAGTGAAGGCAGAGCGCAGCCATCATGGCTAGCAGTCGTCAGTAGTCTTCTCCTTGAATTTTTCCAAATCCCTTTTAAAGCCATCCAAGTCGGTGGCCATCACGAGCTTTGGTGGTAGCAAATTCCGTAGTTTAACTAAAGGAATATACCACAGTGCAACAGTTAGTTGCAGGTCCCACTTCTTCCTCTTCTATTTAGGACCAGGAGAAGTTTATACAGGTAGAAACTTTACACAGGAATGCTGCATGTAACCAGGACTAGAAAAAATATTCCAAATTTCCTTGCGCCAGCATGAAATTCTTAGGAGCCAGGGCCAGACCTTTAGACTTCTTCCATTCACAGTGTACTTACATTTTATTGATGGATTGATCGAATTTATACACCACTTTTTCCTCCAAGTAACTCAAGGTGGCATCCATGATTCTCCCCTTTCTTATTTAGCCCCTACCACAGCAAGCCTGTGAAGTAGGTTAGGTTGAGAGGCAGTGAATGGCCCAAGGCTTTGAGTGGAGATCCTGGTGTCTCAGGTCCTAGTCCAACACTCTAATCACTACACAACACTGTTTCTGCATGTTCAAAGACTAAAACAAAAAACTTCAAAATGCTGTTGTTGTGTTATAGACTCTTATCACAGACTGGTGCTAGATTTTTCTAAGCATAACACAAATTCTATAACTGAAGAGCAATCTTGATTTTAATTCTAAAACTTTCCTTTGTTTAAATCTCCTGGTGGCTGTCATGAAACCAACTATTGGCCCAGGTAACCCACATTTCAGCCTTTTCTGTTAAATTCATATTTATAACCCACTTCCCCCATCCCCAGGAGGCCCAAAGCTACTGACAAAAATAAACAAAAACAGCCAAATACAATAATATCAAAAATGACATTTGGTATAAGCACAGCAAGCAGATCTCTAACAATAAACAAAGGCATTTCAAAAACATGCCACCAAATTCGTATTTAGCATATCAAAACATTTCATTTGCAATTACACTTATAAATATAACACGTTGGTAACAAGGGATCAGCATTTCTACTAACAAAATATAAGCCCTAACTAATCCAATGATATATCATAAATGATAAAAACAGGAAACTCAAAGAAGCAATAGATATATACATCAATAAAAATGCATTAAGATCAACCGGGTCCTTCAGGACTGCAGTGAGAATATGTAAAAATATCCTTAAATGAATCCACTTTACATAAAGAGCAGCATGCAATATATTCTCAGAACTGCTCTGGAGTAACTTTTCATTCTTGTATAACCCGTTTCCACCTAACATGCCACCCCCAAACATTTATTTATAACTAGCTGGAAATCAGGGTTCCAATATATGCTTTATATATGCTTTCATCAATGGGAGGGTGCTACTTAGATGGAAAATAAGCCCCAAACTGTACCCATGAACTCACGTAACAAAAGATTTGACTCTTTTGAGGTGCAAAAACTGTGAGTTGTATATCCTTCATGAAGTGCTCATGTTGCTTAATTTGATAACATGAAAAGTATTGGGGTTCAAATGTGAGATATATATCGTATTCTATTTTATGGTAAGCTGTCCTTGTAATTTCATTTTGTTTTTTGAAAGGCAGAATGTATATGTATAAATCAATCAATCAATAGTGTGGCCTGGAAGTCTCCCTCTCCAGTCCCTAAACTGAGAACCAATGGGATGTAGTGGTTAGAGTTTCTAGGAAGAACCAGGTTCAAAACTGCCATAAAGCTCACTGGGTGACTCTGGGACCATTGCCCATCTCTCAACCTAACTTTCCCTGCAGAATTGTTGTGAGGATCAAAATGGAGAACATCATTACGCACAAGTTCAGAAGCACTCTCTCTTTTTACTACTGTTCTATTATATATATATATATATATATATATATATATATATATATATATATATATTACAGGACCTGGGTGGGGATCCTCCAACTTGCAGGCCTAATCAGGCTAGCATGGGTCAAAATCTGGCCCTTGAATTCAATTCCACAAACCCACGCCCACCTGCCCCACAACTGACATCAGGTGCGGGGCAGTTGAGTATGACATCAAGTGTTACCACATTTGGAATAATGTGCACAGTTCTGGTCACCTGGCCTCAGAAAGGACAGAGTTGAAAAAGGTTCAGAAAAGGGCAGCAAAAATGACCAAAACAATGGATCCAAGAAAGGTTGCAGTGTTCGGGAATTTTTAGTATAGAAAAAAGGTGAATGAGAAGTGTCATGATAGAAGTGTGCCAAATTATGCATGGAAAGGGTGGGTAGAGAAAAGGTTTTCTGCCTCTCTCATGGCTCTAGAAATCATGGACATCCAAGAAAGGTGGATGTTGGAAGGTTCTGGGCAGATAACAGAAAGCACTTCTTCACTCAGCGCCTAGTTAAACTAGGGAACTAGCTCCCACAGGAGGCAATGATGGCCACCCACTTAGATGGCTTTAAAAGAGGATTGGGCAAATTCCTGGCGGATAAGGCTGTCAGCAACTACCAGCCATGATGGCCATCTTCTACCTCCACCATCAGAAGCATTATGCCTCTGAATACCAGTTGCTGGGAGTTGCTCCGGTCCATAGCTGTCAACTTTTCCCTTTTCTTGCGAGGAATCCTATTCGGAATAAGGGAATTTCCCTTAAAAAAAGGGAAACATTGACAGCTATGCTCAGGTCCTGCCTGTGGGTTGGCACCTGCATCTCATTGGCCACTGTGAGAACAGGATGCTGGACTAAATAGGACATTGGCCTGATCCGGCAGGCTCATTTTGTATTCTTAGGTGTGGGGAAGGCAGAGACTCAACTTCCAATGAACAATCAGAAGCCTTACAGTGTGCTTTTGATTGTTCCCCCATGCTGACTTCAAGCCCACTGGGAACTCCAATGAGGAACTCTGTAGAGCACCTGAGCCCTGCAGAAAACAGAGTTTAATGTCAGCACCAACCAGTTAATCACTAGTAACTTCAAGCCCTGCTTGGATTGTCTAGGATCCTGCTTTGTAATATGGCTTGAACTCAAAGGAAAAATGAGTAATGATGATCACATCAGGTGACTGACATGTAGACAGTGGCTGGGAAAGTTTCCCCACTCTGGATATAGGGCTTAGCTTGCTACCATCATTGCTTGGCTCCAATGAAGCTCTGCATATTCTAGGAGGCTTGCACTTCCTACTCTTGCAGATCATAGGATGTGAAATCCTTGCATTGGGACAGCTACTTGCAAATATACTGCAAATATACACGAGAACAAGAGAAATATCTCTCTGTCCTCATAACATTAGCATTGCCACTATCTAAGGCCATCTACTAGAAAATCTACTGGAAAAGGGTGTATATGTGTGTTTTCTATTCTATTAGATAATGGTCTGCAAAACCTGGGAACTATCTCCTTTAAATTACAATTGAATGCTCTGTCTTTTTAATATTCGTTAACAGTAGCCAACTCCTCTCATTTAATTCACTCTGTATTCCCCATATACAATACAATCCTTCTTGGTAAGCATGTATAGGATTGCAGCCATCATCTCAAGTCACAAGTCACTTGTGATTCACTTTGATCATACTTATGTTTCATTTTCACAATTTGGCATGGGCTTCTTTCCCCTTGACATTTAAGTACATGCATCTTGAGAAATGTTCTAAAGTGGAACACTCATACTAAAAAGCAGATTTTGTGTGGGGATGTGAGGAGGAAGAAAGAAGGAGAGAATTACATTATATGGTATACAATGGTCTTGTAATCACCACCGAATCTTAAG